CAGTTCTTAATATAAAAGTTAGAAAATCATTATAAAAATTAGTTAAGTTAGTTATTTGTTATAAATACATATTGTTCTTTCTAAAATACTCCTATTAATTATATGCATTGGAAGTACTGCTTGATGAAAACTACTTAACATGTACAATCATCACAAGAATTATTTGGAAGTAAAATAGATAAATATTAAAGACAAATAGATTAGAATATTATATTTAAAACTAAATTTAATCTTTAATTAGTTTTTATATTAAGGATTTGAAGTAATACTAAGTTAAAAGTTTTTAATTAATTTTCTTTGCATATCTTTTTACATCTGTTTTATTATTATTAAAATTTCATTAAATCAACTTTTTATTTATTTCCAAATAAATTTTTCTCACCCTTTGTTAGTACTGGGAAAACGGGCCGGCCCATCACGGGCTCGGGCTTAAACGGGCAGGCCTGTTTGAGCCCGAGTTGCAAAAATAAGTCGTTTTTTCGGGCCCGGCTCGTGAGATGACGGGCTCGAGCTAGCCCGCGGGCTTTTGGCCTTTTTAACTAAAATGAATTTTTTTTATTTTTTTGTATATTTTATCAAAATAATAAAAATGAAACAATAAAATTACTAATAAAAGGTATAAATATAAATAAAATTGAGTCACAAATATAAACATTATCATGTCTAAACATATATTACAGTGTAATAAAGTCTATTGAATAAACAAACTAAATAGAGGACAGACATAAACAACTAAATAAGTATTAAGTTCAGTAGATAATTACAATGCGGATGATCTAGTTTGATTATAAATAATTAACAAAAAATTTTAACTAACAAACATAGTATACATGAAGAATAATCATTTGTCATATCGACAAAAAAGAAAAGAGTCCATCATCCTTAGTTCTAAATTTGTTTCTACTATAAAAATGATATAGATCTTTATTTTAGTTTAAAAGATTTTTTGATCAATTATATTTCAAGTATAAAAAAATATTGGAGAATGACAAATAAAGACTATAAAAATTACACATACAGTATTTTAATAGGTTTTGACAACTTATTTAACAATATATTTTTGTGAATATACCTAGTTTTAAATTTTGCAATTTTCATATTTTTTTGGTTATTTTTCGCACAACTATAGTGATTCTTTTTTTCTTTTTGTGAATGCTATCTATGTGAGTTGCCAAGATAAGTAAAACTAAGAGTATGATATGTTTAAAATGTTAGGATTTTCTGTTTTAAGTTAAGAAAAAAAAGACAGAAATTTAAAAAAAAAAAATTGGCGGGCCTAAACGGGCCAGCCCGTTTATTTTTCGGCCTTACAGGGCTGGCCCTTTTAAGCCCGACTTCTCTTTCAAGGCTCCAAAATACAAGCCCGGCCCTCGACTTAAACGGGTTTAAACAGGCCGGCCCGACGGGCTCGGCCCGTTTTCCCGGCTCTACCCTTTGTCTCCCCCATTTCGCCTTAAACCAAACGCATCGGTAGTAAGAGACCGAAAATCTCTAATGAAAATCCCCCATTTCGCATATTTATTAACGTTCTTATAATAAAAATATTTGGCAAAAAATAATGGGGTTATGTCTAATGAAAATGACTCATTTTCAGAGCAAAATCAGTTGGCAAAAACACAGGATAAAAATAATATTCCAATTTTTAGAATACTATTAAAACTCGCCCTAAGTCCATCGGTTAGACCAATAACTTGTGAACATGTCCTCTATCCCTATCCCGTCTATTCTAGAGGTTTTGGGTGGGTTGGCTTGATATTTATTTATTTATTAAACATGAGTTGAGTTCGTTTTGATTTTTTAAAATTTAACATTTAATTATTTTTATACTAGTCTAATCTTTAATGCAGGACATAATTATTAAATTGATTTTAATTCTAAATATAAGACTTATATTTTATATTTGTAATTTTTTTAAATTATTCTTATTGATATTTTCTCAACTATAATTAAGTAGAAGAAAAAGAAATGATATTAAGAAAGATAGTTATAATATTTTAGAAAAAATGTCATATTTTTTATAGTTAACTAATTTATCAAAATTCTTTAATCTAATCAAGTTATTTAAATAGATTTTATATTAAGGACTGAAGGAGTATTTTAATTGTTTTATTGTTGTATTATGTATGGTTGTGAATTACCTTCGATCCTTAATATAAGACTCATTTAACTAATTTGATTATATTAAGGATGTTAGGTAAGTTAGTTAATTATAAGAAATGTGATATGTTTTTCCTAAAACACCCTAATCATCTTTCTTAACATCCCCTTTCCCTCTTTTACTTAATTATAGTTGAAGGAGTATCCATAGAGGTAATTTAGAGAAAATTGATAAATATGAAAAATAAATCTTATATTTAGGATCAAAACCAACTCAACAATTGGGTCATATGTTAAGGGCGAGAGAGTAATATCTGTTTTATTTAAATATATATATTTTTAATTAAATTATCGTTGGGTTGATATTGTTGAATCCGTTAGCTCATTGACCTTTTCAACCACGGTTTTCAAGTATCTTGTGATCCGTCCGATTTTTCTTAGGACATATGTTTCAATGAGGTGCCTGGTGATCAAATTGATAACTTCAGCCGAATCAGCGGCCGCCACTGGTGGACGAAGCTAATCCTCCCATCGAATTTTGATGGCCAGGTAAGTGGTATTATAATTACAAGAAACCATCTCGGATTCCGACAGATCTAGGAGGGTTTGTGGTTGCCTTTGTGGGGAATAAAAAATGAATTTCCAAAAGGCGGTTTTGGGGAGGTCCATAGTGAGAAGTGGAGAATTGAGTACGCATAAACATAAAGCTGACCAATTTTTTTTTACAGATTCCATTAAAGCTATAATTATGGCCCCTAGTTGAATGTATGGTTTTCTGTCGAAAAACCATCTATTGATATCTTTGACGATTGTGGTGGGATTTCATTATCTGTTTTGATTTTCGACGCCAATAGTAATAAGCTACTTGCCTTGAGCAAGATAATATTTTTATATTAAAATGATCTGTTGTTCATATATCTTCCACGTAGTTGTACTATTTCATCATGTTTCATGAGATTAACTTTATGTTCTGCACAAATGCAAGAAGAAGTCTGATCCTGTCATGATTCAACCTGGATATACAAAAGCTGATAGTGAAAATTTCAGTTTTCCCACCTTTTGTATTGTAGAGTAAAAAGATCCAAGTTACCTAATAGATATCTACACTGACATGAGAACATTTACAACTGTAACACACAGTAAAATATGAAATATCTATACAATCCCTCCAGTCCTCATTATTTGACCCTTTGTTTAACATTTTACTTTATATTTGATACTGAATGTGGGACATGTGTCAAACATGGAACAAGTACTTGTTTTGATAGTTTGGGTTAGGACAGGATATATAATCTTAATCATAATTGAATATTGGGAAATCTGGAACTATAATTCAACCATCCTTAGTGTGACAGATGAAAGGAAATAAAGATGCAGGAAAAGAGATTTGTGAGAGAACACACATCAGAAACAACTGAAGAAAAATAGTACAAAAAACTCATCACAAGGAGTGCATTCAGGTCACTGTCAAACGTGACTCATGCATGACTCTTTTAGAGGAAAAGATGAAATATGATCCATGTGCCAAAACTTTACATAATGATTATATAATGTTTTGCCACAAATAATATTTGGGCATTAAAATTTTGTTCTTGTGCCATTTTATGTTTTTACCATTTCTGGATTCCATGCAGATTGCTTGCCAAATTTTAGTCAGGAACAATAGAGAAAATCAGAAAGAAGTTTCATATCACATGGAAAATGTACAGTTCTCCTGGCTGGAGGATCTGGTGGTGACAGTGTAGTAATGCAATCCAGTAGTACCGGTATCATTTACGATGATGAAAGATTGATATTAATCCCTTCAATACACACAATTTGCCCAACAATGAAAACTTTTCCTGAAGGATTTTGGATTTTGACTTTTCTTCAAGGTTTGCTAGTATGGTAGAAAAAATGTTGGCTAATTTTGACAATTTGCCGAAAGGCTAGGAGATTTGCTGTAGGCAGTGTATGGTGCTATCAAGATTGGTTTGTCAACCTTACAATTATGATGCCACACGCCTCCTCCCACCTAAATTCACTCGTATTCATCTCTCGTCTGCTTTATTTTGCTAAAATATCAGAATACGCAAATCTTCTTCGACCTTCTTCAGAACCCAAATAACCTGAACTCTACATGGTTGTGAAAGCAGATCATGCGCATGCGCACAGAGAAAACATGAACAAAAAGAAAAGAAAAGAAGGGTTGGGGGAACGTACTGATGCCCTAGCTTGTCTCTTTGTAAAAGATAGTACTATTCCAAGCAACTGTTGAAACGTAGGCTGCATTTGACATAATCCATATTGGTGACAAGAGTTGAAGCTTTGGCTACACAGAAAGGCTTTGATGTCCCCAGGAAAAAAGCTTAACAGTTTATTTGGTTTAGTTTTAGTGCATACCCTTTTCATGTGTTTTGTTTCTTATGATAGTAATTGGCATGATGAGCCACTACCACCAGCACCTCCACCAGCATTTGTCCTATTGGCACTGTTTCTCCCTTCAACAACAACAATGGACCACTCCTTTGGGCCTTCTTTCAGACTGACGATAGCCTCTATTAACTTTTCCACGTGCGTAACTCCGTCCTAATCCGTTCTTTAACTCTTAGCTTCTAAATTGTACAATAGACCTGGCAGAGTTAAGCTGTTTTTCTTCTTTTTTGTTTTTTGTTTTTGGGTTTTCCCCTTTGTTCCCCACAGTTAAGCTCCATTTTCATTTGTGGCTCTACTTTTCTTGCAATACTGGGCACAAAAGTTGGTGGAAATGATAAAGACACCATAAATTTTACGATAGGTACGCATTAAAGTACTCTGTTGCATAATCCTCCTGATTTGTATGTGTCCTGATGTTAATAGTAACTGTTTTGGATTATTGGCTTAAGCGTATAATTTTATGTTTTTCATATTATGGACAAATCAAGGGGGGAAAAATCATCAAGAGCTGTTATTGAATATCTGTATGTAAACTCAACCAGCTCTAATGGAGGCAAGGGAGGGTGATGCTCATATAAACCATAATACTAGAAGAAGAAGCAGAGTAGTATGTTTCTATAGTAAGGAAAAAGAGAAAACATAAAACAAAAGGGAAAAGCCTCCATTTTTAAAGAAGTGCTAGATTAGTTTGAGAGCTCAGCTCTGAGTTCATCAAAATCGCTCATGGTGTCAGCAAAAGAAGAGCTAATTTTTAGGTCAGCAAGCAGCTGACGAAGATCAGAAGCTTCTTCCTTGAGGCGTGCATTCTCCTGAACAACTCTATCATGTGACTCAGACACATGGTTCAGTTTGTCAATGAGGTTGTAGTTCTCATTCCTAAGCCTCACCACTTGTGACCACAGTTCATCCAAGTGCTTCTGCTTCCTCATCCTGGACCTCCTAGCGGACTCTCTGTTTGATATCATTCGCCTCTGCCTCCTTTCATCAATGATACTGAGCTGAATCTCATCAGCCTCATCAGAAGTTGAGTTGCTACTGAGGCAGCTTGAAGAAGCAGGTGGACGAGGAGGGATAAACTCAAGGCTTCCTGAACCAGAAGGGAAGTAGCAGTTTGGCAAATTGCTCAAGAGGGTGTTCAGGTGAAGCTGGTTTTGGATATCACCATGTTGAAACAAGCCAAAGTTTGGAGGAACTAAGATGGGGTTTTCAGGAGCTGAATAGTGAAACCCTCCTATCTCATTGGGAACCATGGCTGGAATTCTCAAAACCTGAGATGAAGAAGATGAAGAAGAAGAAAAAGAAGAAGAAGAAGAAGAAGATGATGATGATGATGATGAGGAGGAGGAGGAGGATAATGATGTTTGAAGGATTGAGTAGGGAATTGTGTGGATATTGCTGAGATGATGGGGGAAGGTAGTGTGGGTAGTGGGGGGAATTTATAGGAGAATGAGGGAAAGAAAAGTGAGCTGGTTTGAGCAAAAATTAAAAGAAAAGGGAAAAGGAAAAAAGAGAGTCACATTACTAATGGCTTACATGAGCAGAAACTATTGAAAAATTATTGGGTAAGTGCTACTAACATATGCATGTGTATGCATCCTGAGAAAGTCCACTTTTTGTCCTATAAGTGCTTATTCATACTTCATGTCACAAACACCATCTGTCATAAATTTCACCAGTTTGGTCTAACAACGAAAGTGAGTATGTGTAATTGCTTGGAGCTACAAGTGCAAAAAGTTTTATTCTGATCTCTATATTGATAGTCTACAAATTAGTTAAGATGAGCAAAATACCAGATTGTATTGCTAAAAACAAAGAGTCCATGACTTGTTGGTTTGTTTACATGTGACTCTGTCTGTAGATTACTGTCTAATCTGTAATCTAGGACTTTCTTCTTGTCAAATGTAGTTCACACCTATAAGTTGCAATTGAAATACTATTTTTTGAATTTCGGGCATCAGGTTGAATTACTCATAAAAGAGCTAGAAACGATGATGTGGTGGGAAATGATATAATATTATTGAAGAGAAGTGAAAAGAGGCACATAAAAAATGGTGCTAAAGTCGATTTCAGGGGGTTTTCCTTTTCATTTTTGTTCCCTCCCCCCCTCCTGATGAGGACCCTACCTAATAGAACAAGAAAATTTTAAAGTTGAAAAATCTTACAGCCAATAACTCCTCCTCATTACAGATGACGCAACGAAGGCTAGTTTAAAAGGTAATCTCTTTGAAATCGAGTTTTGATTATTACTTTTATAACCCTGATGACTCATGAGCCACTTAAATATGTGGATATTAATTACAGGGACCCATGCATGTGGAATTTTTAAGCAGTTAACATCTTGTACCTAAACTGCAGCCATTTACATTAATTAATTTAATAATCCTCTGCATTAAGCACAATAAGGCAACCCATTATCCAGAAACTTGATCTGCATGACCATACTCTTTACTTTCTAACCAAATGAGAATAAACATAAGAAGAAATCCCATATTAAATAGAACTTGAATAAAAGAGAAACATGGAAGTAAAAAAAAATCTATGAGCAGCATCAAGTCTCTACTTGTATATTTTCTTTCTATATAGTTCATCTCTTCTTCTGATACTACCAGTATTTGAATACTGAACACTAAGTTTCAATCTCTTTCCGAGTTCAATAAATGAGAAAGTCTTATAAATCTAAGCTGCGCTCAAAGTTCAACTCAAATACTATGTTCTAGTAGATGTAATGTAACTCCCAGGAACATTTTGATTCTGAGTCATAAATTGCATCAACATCAGAAATGTTCTAGTTTATGGAACTCAACTGTGTTTTAGAAAACCCAGATAGTATATATCTAAATCATAGGTTGCATCAACATCAGAGAATGTTTAATTAATTCTTGTTATTGATCTTTAGTTTGTAAATTTTCACCGACTTAGTTGTGTTTTTTTCCCCCCCACCTTTAAGTGTGAGCTCTTTAGCTGTGTTGCTTCAGTGCTGCCTTTCACTTGCTGATAAAAATGTTAAAGTAGAACAACAATAACAAATAGGATTATAGCTATTTGAATCATTAGGGACGATGTATATATGTAAATTGTAGCTTTCAGTGCTTTATTCTTTGCTTTCTCTTTCACGTTAATATTTTCTTACACTGATTGGATGAGAACTGAATAGCACTATGCTCATGGTATTACAGATGTCTCATTAACACTGCAGAAACCATCACCTTTGCCCAAGGTCATCGTCGGTTCTTCTTAACACTATCCCAGGTGTTCCATTGCATATCAGAATCTGACATGTCTGTCTCCTTCTGTAAATTAAACCCTTAAAAACCTTATCATTTTCTATCTTGTTCCATGAAGCTAATATCCAAATGTGGTCAGCTCTTTTCTTAGCTTAAACAATTGTTGTTGATAACTGCACTTTACTGTATTTTCTTTGTTTTTCTTCTCATGTCTCCCCCTGGTGAGGCCCCACTTTCATGATATACCATCATATATACATACTCTCTCTCTGGTTCTTGTTATAAGACGCTTTCTAAAATAAATTCATGGCCACTAATATAAGTCACCCAGAGAATTATTAATTACGATCTCTAGTTCTAAATATAAGAGCTAGATAAGAAGGTTATTTTGGTTCGAAATATAAATTTCATTTTATTTTACCTCTCAAAATTATAATTTTTTCTAAAGTATTTCTATTGATTGTATTGTATGTCAAAAATATGGTTACAATGCATATTGTTAAAAAGAATATTTTAAAAAATTTGATACACACTTATCATAAATACTTAATTTAACTGATTTTTTTTTAAATTCATAAACTAATTATCTACCTCTTATAATAAGAATGAAAGGGAGAATTCAGAAAGAATTTACTTCTAATTTAGTGTTTCCGTGCAACTCCTCGAGTGTTGTGTTTTCTCTCTTTTTAATGGGGCAAAGTGGAAAGATTTGTAAATTTTAAGTCAAATTTAACGAGTTATTATCTATGACCCTAAATATAAGAGTTAATTAATTTGTAATGATTAAACAAATAAGCTAGTTATGTGTAAAAAAATTTGTGTTAATTTTTCTAAAATACCTCTATGCAAATAACTACTTTTCTGATTCTATTTATAAGTTATTTCTAATATGTTTCACACAGATCAAGAAAAATTTTAAATTTCATTAACTCATTTAAAATTCAATAACTTTTCAACTTTAACCCTATTTAATATATATTATATCTCATGTAAATAAAGTCAACACAATAATAAATGGAGAGTTAAATTATATATCTATACAAAAAAATTTTCTTAATATCTTATAAATAAGATCAAAAAAATCCTTTTTCCGTCCTATAAATAGGACCAAAGGAGTACCTCTTGATAAATACCTTCTAATAATTATAATTAGATTTTAGAAAATTTGAGAGATAAAGTAAATTAGGATATTAAATTCAGGGAAAAAAAATCTCTATTAATTCTTATGTTTATAACTGAAAGTGATGCTTGCTTTCCAATTGCCTAAACTTGGGTGAAGTGGCTGAAAGTGAAGGAAGGGAGTAGAAGAACAGAAAGATTCAAAAAATCTAAGAGTCTAGGCTGCAACTTTGAAATTTGTGTGAAATCCAGAGGGTCCTTTTTGTGCTTTGCTTATATAAATGCCTGTTTGCTTTCATGGAGCTGAGAAAATGAACGTTGGGGTATTCCGCATAATAGAAGTTTCTTACATTCTTAAAGCAATCCCGATAAGGATGAAGTACGACATAATTAAAAAAAAATTAGGAATAAAATAAATGAGAGTTAGTGGGGAAAAACAAATATAAGAAATTGAGAGCCTTCCAGAAAAACCATTTGGGAATGGTCAACTTAACCCTGTGTTACAATTCTGTGAGCATCCTTCCTTGAGTGATGTCTACTTTTAGATATTACCGATAAAAAAAGTCTTATAATAAGCCAGATTTTTTTTTGGTCAAAGTAATAAGCTTTTTTTTTTTTTAGATTACTCCATTCGGTTTCCCAGGGTAATAGGCGTCTTTCAGCCGTAACAGTGACCCCAGACTAGTCCGGATTCGGGGGCTTATAAGGATCCTTTCAGACGGCGTCCCCTGGCCCTTAGAGTGCTGCATTCATTAGAAATTCAATCTTTCGTACATCGTCATCTATATATCCCTGCATATACATACCTTTTTCCTTAAATATTTATTATTTAAATTAAATAAAATATTAAAAGTGGATTTTTTTTCAACTCAACGTTAATAACATTTTTAATTCTTTCAAAGAAACTCTTCTTATGCATATTATTTTATATTAAGCCATCTATCTGGAATTTACATAAAACCCTGACTAATCCGAGTCCAATTGGGAAGTAAAAGCGGTCTCCTGATAAGTATTTAATGTAATTGCATATTTAAGACTCAAATTTAAAATCACTAGTTAAATTAGCACAACTCTATACTAGTTGATTTATACATATATGCACTGTTTATTCTTCCCATAGCATAGATAACAAACGTTAAAAAAATTACATTAATTTAAGTTTCTTTATAAAACAAGGGGTTGTGCTGTGTCATGCACCGCCGCACGAATTAAAGTGAATTTTCATTGATTATATTTTTGTTTAGAAGAATTTTTCCCCACATTCAATCAAAAACCTAATAGTATTGCTTTTTCAAGGACAGGCTGATAGAAAATTTATATATAATGAACTATGTTGTGGTTGTGGTGGTATATTATATTAATTGTTCAGTAAAAATAAAATCAATTAATCCAACTTGTAACCCATATGCCCACTTATAATCTTATATTATTAGCGTCTGATCTTCTAATTCCAAATAAAAATATAAGTAGACAATTTTTCATAGCTAATTATTGGTGCTTTGATGAAATCACACCCCTCTCTCTATATATATGTGTATGATATAAAATCCAATTGACTAATTTGGAGAAATTGAGAAAATTAAATAAATTACTTTGAAATATTATATTTATTTTTCTCTAAACTAATTTGTCTGACTTATAAATTAATACATAATCTGATAATCAGAGAGATTATGCAATATATGTTATAATTAAATCATTTTTCAGCTTTTTTAATTTTTTTCAAATTAGTCAACTGGATTTTATATTTAGAATCGGTAGAAGTATTATTTTTTATACTGAAATTAACTAAAAATAGTATAAATAATAAGGTCTTAATTATAGTGCTAGATAATAATATTAATTATAAAAGTGTTTGACATCCGCACGTATGCACTTGCCGGTACCCCATATACATATAAATAAATATATATAAATAAATAAAAGCTTTCTCCAAAACCAAATATAAATTCCTCAAAACTTCCTTCCTACGATCTTCATGTTTAGAGACAAATAACTTCTTAATAAAGTTATGTTATTTTAATAGCAGTTTGGCAGTCGTCTCTCATCAATACAA